TCAGGGCACTCTGATAGTTAACAAGCTGTACTTCTGTTGGGTTACAAGCAAATATCAAAAAACAACTCATTCCACAGTCTATTTTATTATTTAAGATCAACTTGATAATGACAACTAAGGATCCAGAAATTCACTAGCCTATAACACCTTCACACAACAAAATACAGACAAAACAAACAAACAAAAAGAAACAACAAAGAATCAATAACAACAACAACAAAAAACACAGCCCGATTGCTTTTCTGGCAAATTGTTAATGAAAAAGTGATTCTGATCCAACTACCAATCTGAGTTATAGTAAGAATTATACCAGACAAAGAGGCTGTGATATAGATCTAGCTTTCATTATATTTGTTTGATTTTCCTACTGTTCACTAAGTAGCTTGAGATCACAATCTTTATTTTAAATAAGAAAAAAAATAGTTTCTCCCCAAACCATCTTATAATCACTGAGGGGGGATTACTATGTTGAATTAAGTTAGCTTTAAACTAAGATACTGAGCTAAGCTATTTCAGGCTGCAGGACTACCTCAGCATAGAGCTTGACAGTCTGCAAAGCGCCATTGAGGGCTGCAAGTCACATGCTGCATTAAATTAAAACAAAACAAAACAACAAAAAAAAACAGCTGAAAGGAGGGGAGCACACAGTTTGCACTTATATAGTAAGCTGAAATCTGAAGTTCAGGAGCTGCTTTGAGAGCTCTTCAGCCATCCCTGCTGCATGGACATTAGCAGCTGTGGTAACAGCCACGTAACAGCCACTCGGACCCTTCTATTCCAACACTTTGCAGGAATTACAGGTAAAGGAATGACAAACAGAAACCAAGGTAGCTTTAAAGCAGCTGTCCCTGGGATCCCCTGATACAAACTGCAGTGGAGACACATTCTGACCATCTGCATTTCTTCATGTAAATAATGAAAACTAATTTGGGAGAGACACAGATTTTTGCAGCATGTAGCAGCAGAGCATATTTGTGCCTTATTTTGTTTCCCATTAAACAAAGCTTTCCTGTTTTGATAGATAATCAAGAATAATACAAAACAAGCTCAGAACCAATCTAGAGATGAAAAAGTGCTCTACAGGGTACACGAAATATATTTATACAAAATAAATCCAAGAATAGCAAGACGAGCAGTACAAGAGACCAGCACTCTCTATTACTCTGATTCATTACTGTCAAGTCACACATTAAACTTGAAAAATTTTAGCTCTTCACATACGCAGTACAGAACACTGTATGTACGTACCTTCAGTATCTAAAGTGCCACATTTTGTTTTTTTCTTTCTAAGGACATTACCACACCCAGAACATATTGATGTATCTCCCAAACCATGCAACGAATATAATTTATTTTTACCCTATAAGTCACCAGTGAAGGGAGAATACAGGTAGAGAGGTCTCAAGCCAACTGTAAAATATTTTTGCTTAACTCTATGCAGGCTGTCATATCTACTGCTAAATGTACACTGACTGTTCCTATTGCACATAGTCAAGACCAGGGGGCAGCAATACTGTCAAACACAAAACAAAACAGGTTGATTTCTGACAAATCTATAAGCAAGCAGGAATAGTTACAGACAAGGCAGTTACAGAAGTTAATCAAAGTTTCATCATTGAAAAAAAAATAAAACAGAGAATTGTAAAGCCAGTTGCCCAATCATTCTATCACTTAATAACATATTGCAAACAATAGCTCTACTGACATTTGGAAAATTCAAAAAAAAATTCTACTAAGCAGACATCAACTATTTTCAATCCTACAAAATTTGATTTTTCTATCCTTAAGCCTGTCAGAAGGACGCCATGGTTAATACTTTCTCGTTGCGTACTTGCATACCAGATGTTTTGCTCACACCAACATATTCAGCAAAACCGAAAAAAAAAAAAGTCTAAAACTAAAACAACAGGGTACTATATGAAACAAAAAAAGAAAATGAAACAAAAAAACTGTCTTCTTTCAGTACCCATTATGCTGGCACCTTCAACTAGGAACAGGGGAGGAGAAGAGCTACCCGCTGCCTTCTGCTCAAGTCCTTTGCATTACATTTCCTAATAACTGCTGACCTGACCCATAGGAAATCACCCTGATGCCTCACATAGGAAGCAATGGGCTGACATTTCATAAAGACCAGCTCTGTGAATTTACCCATTTTCTCACTTGTTTTTCTCCAGAGTGAAGCCAGAGGAAGATTTAAGCGACACTAACAACAAACATAAAAAGAAAAAAAGACCTCGAGTCTTCAAGGTTGAGATGCCGAGACCAAATCCCCATCCCCACCACACTATTTTGCTCGCTTTCCACCTAGTTTCATCCTGTGCTACTCTCTCGCCCCACACTCGCCACATTTCACAGGCCAAGTCCTTCTTCCCCGGCCAGTTCTGGCAGCCCAAGTCCTGCATCCACTGGACACAAGGAGCGAGGAGTGGGAACCTCTGCTCCCCAACAACGTCCCGTTGTCACCTTCCTCCCCCCAGCATCAACACTCCTTGCACCGAAAGCACCCGGGGCAGCAACACGGACACTGAAGCTCAAGAAACCTTCACCATTTTAGGCACCAATATGAGGCAGGGAGCTCCTCACCGGACCAGAGTCCCGCAATTAAAAGAACGGGGCAGATGTAACCTCGCACCAGCACCTCCTGCTCCCTTGGCCCGGGGCGGGCAGCAGCACTGATGCTCTCCGGCCAAGACAAAATACTTAATAAATAATAAAAAAGGCGCGCTGGGGGGATGAATGCCGCCGGTTTCACGCACCTCTTCCAGCAGCGTGACGGTGTTGCGGCAGTTCTGCAGGCGGGTGGTGAAGCTGGACGTGGTGGGCGAGTTGTAGTCCTCGGTGGTCTCCGCGATGAACTCGGACACGCTGATCTGGTCCGGCATGATCCTGCCGCAGGGGAAAAACCAAGTGTGCGGAGGGGAAAATAATAATAATAATGAAAATGAAAAAATATTTTTTAAAAGGCCAAGGGGGGGGGTGTCAGGAGGCAGCGGAGCCGCCGGGCGAGGCGGCGCCTTCCCCCCG